GAAAACTAGAATTCTGCACATTGCAATACTGCAGAATATGCACTCATCAGAAAATTGGACAAGATGTCTGTCAGGAACCCATTCAAGTTAATGATTCTTTCCTCATGCTAAATTATAAATTACAGTGATACCTGCTATTTGAGTCAGTTTAGTATAGTGAAGGAAATCTATGACATGCATTTCAAAAGTGACGTCACAATGTTTTGGGACACACCAACATCCAACAACTATTCTCAAAAGCACATCTAAGCCTTGTGCGATTTTTGGAAGCTGTGGAGAATGGGGTCTGCTCTTGCACAGTCTCACACCCTCCAAAAGCTGTGTGAGAGGGCCATGCTTGTAAAGCCTCTGGAGCTTCCAAAAATCATGTGAGAACAGGATGTGGTTTAACATAGTTTTTGAAGGCTGCAGAGGCCACGAAAGAGCACTCTCCAAAGGCACTTCAAAAACAAAGGCCTACTGCGACCTGCAGCAGCCTTAAACTATAGGAACTTGTCAATGGAAAGAACACTGCAAAAGAACACTTGAAGGTAAGTGGTGCACAGCAGAAACTGGGAAGCCCTGGGCTGCAGGGGTGATCACTTCTTTCCTCAAGGCTCGCACATCTTGGTGAACAATGTGAGATGGCCTTTCTGAGTGGCAGAGATGGCACTAAGGCTGAAGTCAACACACCGTCTCCACTTCAGGAGAGCCTAGATAATAATAATAAAGTTGGAGGGGACCTTGGAGATCATTTAATCCAACCCCCTACTCAAACAAGAAACCCTATACCATTTCAAACAAATGGTTGTCCAATTTCTTAAAAACTTCCACTAGTGGAGCATTCACAGCTTCTGGAGGCAGGTTGTTCCACTGATTAATTGTTCTAATTGTCAGGAAATTTCTCCTTAGTTCAAGGTTGTTCTAGATGGTGTGTGGGTATGTGTTAGTGAACTGTTGCTCTTTCGTTGGGGGCAGACTGATGTCCCAGCAGAGTCAACTTAGGCATTTTCTGAATTTTGAGCCAGCAAGATAAGCGGCAAACAAATTTAATAAATACATTATTTTTATAACATAAGTCTGGTAGAAGCCCTAGGAAGTATCTGCAAATAGTATCTAGATGTGCCAAATCAGAGATTTTTTTTTATATGCTAAGTCCAAAAGGTTGCTATTACTTAAGGCACCAGGTTAGAAACCAGGAAACTATGAGTTCTAGTCCCACTTTAGGCATACAAGCCAGCTGGGTGACTTAGGGTTGGTTAGTCTCTCAATCCAAGTTCACCTCCCTGGGTTGTTTTGAGGAAAATAGAAGGAGGAAGGAGTATTTGGTATGTTTGCTGACCAAGTTATTTATAAAATAATAAAGATGGATTAAAAAAATACAACAAGAAGATTCTAGTAGCACTTTCTGGTAGGTTTCCTGCATAACATGATGTTCATGTATCCTCTGTGTAGTTTATTATGATTTCAAGGAAATTGACTTTTTGTAGAAAGGTCAAGGCTGAAATTGATGCTAGGGTGGAAGTTATTGAGGTCATGATAGGATTTGATGATTCTTTTCTGTAGATCCAGAAAATGAAAATATTAATATTACGCAGTGCGAATAGAATAGGAATAGAAATAGAATAGAATTAGAATAGAATAGATGTCAGTCACCTGCTATAATTTTTTACAAAAAAAAAACCGTAGAAAAAAGATAAAATTGTATTTCAATTTGCACAGTCAGATATTTAGGCTTGATACTATATAAGGCAGGAGTCTCCAACCTCCTTAGGCATGTGGGGTATGTTGTGAACATATGAGTACTCTCATAATGACTACTGAGGGAACTTACATTCATAACAGTTTAATAATGATAATAATAGTAGTAATAACAACAACAACAATAATAATAATAATTTAAAAAAGTTAGAAGGGACCTTGGAGGTCATCTAATCAACCCCCTGCTCAGGCAGGAAACCCTATACCATTTCAGACAAATGGCTGTCCAGTCTCTTCTTAAAAACTTCCAGTGTTCAAGCATTTTCAGCTTTTGGAGGCAAATTGTTCCACTGATTCATTGTTCTAATTGTCAGGAAGTTTCTCCTTAGTTCTAGGTTGCTTCTTTCTTTGGTTAGTTTCCATCTGTTATAAAACATTGAGTTGCTAGAATGCTATATGCCAGCCACTTGATCTCCCCTTTCATTGTTCTTTTCTGACCAGCTGACCTAGTTCCTAACAAACATTGGGTTACATGTTTACTTTGTTTTATTTACAATATTTATTGAAGTTATATGGTACTCGTTGTAATTGACTCACAGTGGCTTACAACAATATAAACTAGATTACAATCACTAATAGTATCAACATCTGTTTCTCATTCTTAATGCTATAAGCTGTCCAGAGTTGCCTTGCAGCAAGATGGGTGGCAAAGAAATTTAATAAATTCTTATTTTTTTTTACATAAAGTCTGGTAAAAACCCTGGGAAGTATCGGCAACCAAGCTAGCATCTAGATGTGCCATATTAAACACATCAGTTTTAAACCTAGTGGCACTAGAGAGATCCTGATTCAAGTCTACTCAGCACTGGAAATTTGAAGGGTGATTTCTGATGAGTCACTCTTTTAGTCCAACCTACCCCATAGAGTTGGGGAAGAATGGAAAAGGGAATGCAATGTACAGTCCTAAAGCTCTTAGAACACAGGTAGTCTGACTTACGAGCACAAGTGAGCCCAAAATTTCTGTTGCTAAGTGAAACAGTTGTTAAGTGAGTTTTGCCCAACTTTACCTTTCTTCCCACAGTTAAGTGAATCACTGCAGTTAGGTGAGGAACACGGTTGCTAAGTGAATCTGACTTCCCCATTGACTGCGTGTCAGCAAAAGCCGATCACATGACCCCAGGACACGGCAACCATAAATACATGCCAGTGATCAAGCAGCCAAATTCTAATCACGTAATCATGGAGATGCTGCAACTATCATAAGTGTGAAAAGTGGTCATAAATCACTTTTTTCAGTGTCGTAACTTGAAATGGTCACTAAATGAACTGTTGTAAGTCGAGGACTACCTGTAAAGGCACAGGGTATAAATCTAACCAATAAAACTGTACATATATTCCCCACCTTCTTGATTTTTTTAATTTAAATTCCGACAATCTCCAGGAACTATGTCTTCTGAATCCCAAGGTAAACTAAACTGGGAAAGATTGCAGTAGAACAGTGGTGGCGAACCTATGGCACACGTACCAGAGGCAGCACTGGGAGCCCTCTCTGTGGATATACATATGCCGTTGCCCCAACCTTGCCTCCCCCGTGACCCCCTCCTCACCAGCAGCCCCCCTGGAGGAGAGTTGCCCCCACGCGTGGCCCACGCGGAGCAGCGCAGCCAAGAACATGGCAGCCAGGGAGCATAGACAAGATTCTGCCCTCACGCCCCATCGCACAGTTGATGCTGCGGGGCGCGGGCAGAGGGTGTGGCCACAATGGCGCTATTGGGCTGCCTGGGCGATCTACGGCGGGCCCTGGAGGTGGTGAGTGGCCCTGTGGGCAGGCAGGGGGGCGGGGCAGCGGGTGGAGCGGGGGCAGGGCCAGCTTTTGGGCACTTGATCTCTAAAAGGTTTGCCATCACTGCAGTAGGATATAGGCAATGAACTTGAACCTTGTGTATTGATCATGGATTTTTTTTTTTGATACAAGACCATTGCTTTCTAGTTGTTAGATTTGCAATGAATTCTTAGTCTCCTTTTTCTAGGATAGAAGGATTTTTATCCCATATTTCTGAGAATTAATGGACCTAAGGCTCTTTTCCATTACACTGCTGAATAAGTGATAAAATTTTGATGCAGAAAAAATACTGTGAGAAGAACTGGCCAGCTGAGTGACTTTGGGCTGGTCACTTTCTTTCAACCCTAGGAAGGAGACAAAGGCAAATCACTTCTGAAAAATCTTGCCAAGAAGACTGCAGGGATTTATCCAGCCAGTCTGTGAAAATTGGACATGACTGAGCGGAAGAATTTTTAAATTATTATTAAGAAATTTTTTTACACAGCATTAAACTGCTACAAAAAGAAAGAAGAAAAAGGTATGAGAGTAAAAAAGTGAAAGATAGAAAAAGAAAACTCTAAAGAAGTGATTTCTGACCTTTGCAGCAGTTGAAAACAAATTTACCATTTCCACCAACCCAAATTGCATTTCAAGTTTCCCTTCTCATAAACAACTCTTTTTAAACAGTAAAGCTAACTACATTTAACCTTGTTTTTGATCTGTATCTGCACTGATCTTCAATTTTTGAAATTCATTCTTTCTCCCAAATTCAGCAATTTTTCTTCTATGATCTGGAGTGCACATGGGCAATCTCTCTTTTCTTGTCCAGAAAAGCTCTGCAGGACTGGGCTGACCACCAATTCAGAGTTCCAGCCTCAGTGTTGTCTCCATGCCTTCAAAAATGCATCAATCTGCCATTTTCCTCACCCAGAAGTCCCAGATAAACTGACCATTTTAGAAGTACCTGAAGCCTGAGTTAAACTTGAGCTAGGAACTGCAAGTTTGACTTCACACAAGCTGATGTCACGGGCTTTTTGGTGGGATTGTGTTTGGTTCTATTCATCAGACTATAAACAATGTTGCTTGTTTGGCTTTGACATATGGATATGGGGGATATAACCACTATGGTTTATTCAGCAATCTATAATTTGGTGCAAAGGGTGAAGCCAATCTATGTGACAGATTGTTAGGGCCTCTGAAAAGAAGACAAAAGGAAGAAGGCAAGAAACAGCCATCACAGAAGCCCTTTCAGATGGATTCTTTCCATCTGCCTTGTACAAAAGAGCTAGAATAACATAGATGCAAAATAATAATTATAAATGTTTAAATCGCTTGCAAGCTGCAATTTTATCTTGAAAAGTGGAGGGTATCACTATTCATAATGTTCATTTTGAGTATGCTACTTTGGTGCGTTTTTGTTAGGGTCATAATACTTTGTGGTACCCCCACCTCAACCTTAATTAATCAACTTTGAAAAGGAGAGGCAAAGGCTAAGAAGGTTATTAAAAAGTCTTATTTATTGTGCTCTGGAGGCTCCAGTGTCCGGACAAGGGTTGGGGGGAGTAACAAAAGAACCCAGCCATCCCTACCTCCAGAGTTCTGGTACTCCTATCCATGCAGAGAGAAGATCTGGAGAGGCTCTGGAAGAGCAAGTTGATCCTTTGGTGCCTGGAAAGTCATGACTTCCCTGAGGTTCCTGGAGTGTCAGGGATGGGAACACAGAGGCCCAATTTCCTCATCCTCAGTCTAAGCCTCTGGCCTCCCTGGTAGTCTACTGGCTTCTGTCACATCAGGCTGCATCTAAAAGTATAAAGAAGGAAGATGACTGAGTCCCACAAACATCTCTCACATCCCCCAAAGTACATGAGATGGCCAGAAAGACTCAGGTGCACAAATAAAAGTGACAGGTAACCATCCTCACTTGTCAGCTCAAACAGGAGGTCCACCCACAAAAATATGCCCAATCCCCAAAGCTAACAATTATAATTATCATAACTGAGTGCTGTTTGTGGCTGTTAGGACAAAGGCAAGCGCCTGCCTATTTCTTAAGTTAACTTTTTAAATATATTTTTTATTATTATTAAGACAATGCCTTCCAATTGAACGAGGCTTTGCCTTCAGATTGGAACACCATGAGAAAGGGCAATACTAGCCCTGCACTGTATCTCTGCTTTGCCTACATCCTTTCACATTTTCTGAAGAACTAAATGAAATTCTGAGGTCACCAACAATAAACACACAGTCCTGGAAGCAACCAATTGTTACTGCATAGAACACGTATTCTTTAAAACAAGTGAGAGAGGTCGCATTAATGAAGACTGCAAGGGTAGTGGACTCATGGGGTGTGTGTGCGGGGACTGCTGTCCTCACCATATAGAATAGTACACTGGAACTTGCCTATAAAGATAATATGAGATATACCACAAATTGCTCTAGAGCACTTAATACTGCTTTAAGTTCTTCTGTGAGAAAAGATCTACCTCATCCAAATCTGTTCTGGGCCTCTCTTTTATGACCTAGCTATGGCTTTGCCATTGTTTTTCAACCACATTCCCTTTTCATCTTCCCATTTCCAAATGTTTATACTCCTCCAGCTTGGGATGTTCTACAGGTCAGAAATTCCACAGATTCAGCTCTGCACTTACAACCAGGCTTGACCTAAAGCAGTCTGGTCCGCTGCTTCCTGCAACAGAACTACATTGATTTCTTTGAGGCCATTTTAGAAATATTTGGGGGAGGGGAAATGCCAGTGTGTCATCTTCCCCAAACTGAAATATGAAAGGCAATTTAGTAAAAAGACTAGAACGGGGGTGCCCAACCTTGGCTACTTTAAGACTTAGGGCTTCAACTCCCAGAATTCCCAGCCAGCATGGCTCACTGGGGAATTCTGAGAGTTGACATCCCCAGGTCTTAAAGCTGACAAGGTTGGACATGTTTGGTCTACAACTAAGCAATAGATTTAAAGAGTTAATGTGATTATCAGCTTCTCAACTCCAATTAACTAGGATCATTTTTCTAGATTCTTGAAATTCAATACAGCTATAATTCCGAAAATTACTAATACATTCAAGTGAGAAAATGTTAAGTACAATCCTAGTTAGAAGCAGGATTCTAAAATGCCTCAATTTTATCCAACACATTAGCAGAAGTATTTGCAACCTTCCCTAATTTTGTCCTTCAGATAACTTGTTCATGATGCCTAGGAACTGAAACCTAGCATATATGAATAGCAGAATTTAGAGAAATATAGAGAAATGTCTTTCTCAGCCTCATTTGTGGGATCATGTTAGTTCTGAGGAAATGGGCAATTTAAGAAGCATTTTGATCTTCTCATATTCTTCCCTTGACTTTACATAACATGGAATCATCTGACTTGATTTGTCCTTTTTGTTTGGAGATAACATCCTTGCATTCAAAGAGTCTAGCAAGTTTGCAACAAAGTAAGGAACCCACGAGTCAACAATCCAGTGCAGTAGGTGTTTCTGCAGGCCCAGTTGCTAATGTTTATCGAAACTCAATGAGAAAGTGTTCACTAAAATTATAAAATTAATTATATAAATTAAAATAAATTATAGGAGGAGCAAATTGCTTTATGATGTGAAATTGCAAGGTATGGCAGGGCAGAAATACATACTTTTTCCCAATGTGATGGCTTCCAAATAAGTTAGAATTTGAAGTCCCAGAATTCCCTGAGATTAAAACAAACATTGCAAGATTTGTGAAATTTCTGAGAATTTGGGCCCTGCAAGGACACCAGACTGAAAAAAATACAATGGAATCAAGTTTTGAGAAGTGAAGATTTCTGGGTAGAAATTCAAGCATACCTGAATTCTATTCAGCTCTTCTTGACCTTGCTGCAGCCTTTCCATCTCACTCTGAATACTATTCAAAGAGGCTGGAAAGCAAGACAAGAAATCCAGTTAATGAACATGCATTAATGGTACAATGGAAATATATGGACCATACAGATTGAGAGCATCTTACCTTGCAAAAGCTCTTTCAGTCAGAAGCAACGGAAGAAAAGGAAACAAAAAGGAGAAGTTGTTAATGCTAAAGAGAATTCCTCATATCAAGTTTCTAAATGCAGAGGATCTGATTTTTAAAAAATTAGCACTTGCCAATTCTAGAGATTTATTTCTATCTGTACAATCAGGATCACCATCTACTTTCCCCTGCCCACCTCTTTCTTCCCGCTCTCTCTCCAGCGCCCCCTGCAGGCTTGACTGAGATGCTGCTTCTTCATCCAGCTGCTCCCGCAAGGATATGATTTCAATTCGCAGGCGCTCAGCCTGATGCTCTGCAGCCCGAAGTTGTAAAGCAGACTCTTGTCTCAGCTTGGACACCATGGCTTGCAGCTCCTGGGGAAAGAAAAAGAAAGAAAGAAATCTGTTTTATTAACAGTGAAATTCAATCCGTACAACTACAGCAAATCTCATTCCTCAACCTCAGTATCAGCAGAAGTTGGAGTCTAGGTACCGGCACTGTGTTGGGCAAGCTCCTAGTTTCATCATCTGTTGGGAGAGGATTCTGGGAACTCATCCCCCGCAGCCCTTCATTCTCGGCATTGAGACGCTGTACTTCGTAGCTGAGGCGCTTGTGGGATGCAGCCAAATCAGCCTGGAAGAAAACCGCAAGGGGAAGGAGGGACAGACAGCAACCAATAACTATCCTTCCACTGATGTCTCCAAGAGAGGATTTAAAGGATTCTACATGAGAGCCTCTGAAAAACACTTATCCAGAAGAGAAGGATCAGAGTTTATAAGTGAGGAAAAGTCTGGAATGATCAAATCTACAGTGGACAAGATATACAGATAGTCTTCAACTTACAACCATTTGTTTAGTGACCATTCAAAGTTAAAACAGTACTAAAAAAAGTGACTTATTGCACACTTATGACCATTGCAGCATCCCCATGATCACGTGATCAAAATTCAGGCACTTGGTAACTGGTATATATTTATGATAGTTGCACTATCTCAGATTCATGCGATCACCTTTTGCGACCTTCTGATAAAAGTAAATGGGGGAAGCCACATTCGCTTAACAACCACATGAGTCACTTAATAATTGCAGTGATTCGCTTAACAACTGGCAAAAAGGATGTAAAATGAGAAGCAACTGACTTAACTGTCTTGCTTAGTAATGGAAATGGGATCAATTTTGGTCATACGTTGAGGACTATGGAAGGACTGTTAGTACATTTGGAGAAAGGAATATATGTGCCATCTTTCTAGGAGAAAACTCTATTCAAGACATTTTACAATAAATACACAAACTCCTCATCCCTAGCAGGAAAACACTGAATGTCCTGGCAACAACTTGCACTTGCAACTCTTCGTTGAAAAATCAGAAGTGCCAAACACAGGTTTTCTTCTGTCCTCAAATCTCCAGTGGTATATTGTATAGTTGCATCTGGACAACAATGCTCTACTGAGGCTCTACTCATCACAGATAGGCAATTTATTTCCTACCTTATTTTCTCAACCTCTACTGCAGAAGACCAGATAGCTTTTAAATTAACAAGTCAATAGCCTTGGAACTCCTCCTACCTAAAGTCTGAGTTCTAAAGATCCCAAATTGAGCACATCATAGCAGGATCATTTTTCCCAGGCTTCTCTTCTGATTCTTCTGTTATCCTTTGCTTCGCTTCCAACACTGTCACCCATCTACTATACTCACAATCTGCTCTTGAGTCTGCCGTTGCGTTTCACTCACGGTGGCTTGGAGGTTTTGGAGAAGATTCTCTGATGTCTGGATCTGAGCCAAAAGAACCTGAACCTACTCAGAAAAATGAGAAAAGGGGAAAATCGGATTTGTGGAAACTGAAGTTTGTATTCTATGCATGAGCTAGCAATTGGTTAAGATGCTGCCCTTAACATTGGTTAAGATGCTGCCCTACGAGTGAAATGTGTCAGGTTAAAATCACCAAACTGCCTATGGTTTTCATGTTATCTTTAGCAAGTCTGTGACTAATTCTGCAGAATGCAATATGCTGTAATGTGGCTTCCTTGATTTTGGCTTAACATCTGGTATAAACTAAGCCTTACAGGCTGTAATTTATAGCTTAGGGGCTACGTTCACCCAATATCTTATCTCTTTATCTGCATTCAGTTCAACCAGTTGGTTTTGATATTTAAAGATCTATATAGGCTGGTGCTATAGAATCTCAAGGAATGCTTCCTTTCATAGCATACACATCTGCCTAGAAATCTACATCATCCTTGAGAGATTTTTACCCAAAACCTCAGATGAATAAACTTGGATCCTCTCTACCACCCATACAATTATTTTTCAAATACTAGGGCAGACCCTTTTGTCTTCTTATAAATAGATTCTGAATATTTATTTTTAACTATACTATCGATAGAGTTCCAGAAAATGACATTTGAAATACTGGCCAGGTCTGGTTACTACTTGGAGACCTCCAGAAAAATTTAAGGAATGATAGGCCAATCTACGAAATAAAATATTCCAGTAGAAAGCAATGGCAAACTATTTCTACATGGATGTTTCTATGAAGTTACTAGTGTGTGTTAAGGTATAAAATTTAATAGCTGGAGCAGTGAAGGGTTGGACAATGAGTAAGAACACAGGGTTATAGCTAATTGGTTAAAGACAGCTAGCCACTGCATGAGGGAATCTGAGATGTGATTGGTTGCTGTGAGTAAAGGGGGAGTTTCTTTGTTTCCCGCCTTTTTCCTCTGTGTGCCCTGTGTGATTTACTTCATGATATTCCTGCTGTGTTGATTTACCTGACTATGCTCCTGTTGGCCTCTCTTATTTACTGTTTTAATTATTTATTTATATTTTATATAAATATATTTTATATATTTATATAAAAGCTACAAGTTCTTGTCAGTATCTCTGACTCCATTTGGACACTGGCTGCGCAATTCCCTGTTTTTATATAGATGATTTGGTATCATCCTGGTTATTTAATATTTAGTGTTTTGTTATGTCTTTTCATATGCTTTATGGATACAGGGATTTAATCCTGTATTCCACCTCAAGGTCCTTAGAAAAAGGACAAAAATCCTACTTAATACATTAGAACAAGCATGAGTTTACCTGCTTACTGCACTCTTCATTGCTATGTCTCAATGCCTCCTCCAGGTTAGCTTTCTCCTTTGCTCTTTCCTCCAGAGTTCCACGTTGCTGTTGCACCTGAGGAGGCACAAGGATATAGGGGATGAAGAAAGGAAGCCTTTAGCTTCTTATCTCCCATTTATCAAAATTCTCCTATAGATGGTTCTCATTTAACAACCACTTGTTCAGGGATCATTTGAATTGTCAACAGCGTTGAAGAAGTGGTATCTATGACTGGTCCTTAAAGTTCCATCTGTTGCAGTGTCCCTGCAGCCACATGATTGCAATCTAGGCACTCAGCAATCAGCCTGGATTTCTAAGAATAGGATAGGATTAGGATATAGAATAGAATAGAATAGAATAGAATAGAATAGAATAGAATAGAATAGAATAGAATCTTTGTCACTTTAAATGTACGCTAATCAGCATACATTAGAATGAAATTTTGTTGCATTCAGCTCTCAAAAAAATACTATTATGCATATACCTACACACACACACACACACACACACACACACGACACAGAGAAACATCAGTCTACTTCGAATGTACATATATACATGGTACATGGTGGAAAAAAAAGAATCCTACGAATTTACAAGACGAATAAGGAACAAAGCTGATACAGAATCTAGTAGTTCTGCTATAAATGCTTCGAAACCTTCTCCCAAGGGGAAGCAATAGGAACAGACTGTGAAGTGGGTGTGAACAATGCTTCAAGCTCTAAGCAAATAGCACTTACAAGCAGTATCCTGAATAATGGGAAGCATTATTGTTGCAACATCCTGCAGCCACACAATTGCAATTTGTGTCCTTCCCTGCTGGCTTTCCACAAGCAAAGTCAATGGGGAAGCTGGCAGGAAGTCAAAAGGACACATGAGAGGTCCTTGCTTAACTCACACAGTTCTCACTTCACAATGATTGGGAACTGCCAGAATTGCCATTGCTAAGCAGCACAGTCATGTGATATCACATTTTATGACTGCATCACTTAGCAATGATAATTCCAGTCCCAATTACCCTTGTAAAGCAAGAATTATCTATATTTCTCACTATGCTAATAAGAATTATCTTATTATTCCTCTGGGGAATTATCCCTCTGGGAGTTACAAAGTTGATGGCAGTCTAAAAAAATTGTCAGCTAGCAGTAATAGCCTCCAAAAAACTTTCCAAAGCAGCTAAAAATCCTTGCTAAGATAACTGTGAACAACACCAAAGCACAAACGCAGCACAGAGAAGTCTTGAAAACCAATACCAACAATACTGATTATGTAGAATCATTATCAAGTAAATCCATCCACAGCTGGTGACAGAATCAGGAGGCCTCAATCAGCAGAGTATTTTAGAGCTGAGGGCTACAATGAAGAAAGCCAAATATAAATGCTACTTGCCCTTTTCATATTCCTAAAATAGAGATAGGCAATATTATACTTCTACAGATTTCCCCCCCCCCCCCCCCCCCGAAGCAAGCAGAGTTGAAATTTATGATGCTCTTGTAATATATTTGGGGGAAGAGTTGAAGGAAGACAATGGGTGCTTTAAGCCTATCATTTTTTTTAAGGTTTAAAGAATTTGATTTGGTATTTTATTTCTTAACAATCATTCCTTTCAAAAAGAAGTTGCAAGAAAAGGAGTCAGGTAGCCTTTGCTTAATGACCCTAATTGGGACTGCAATCGTTAAGTGAAGTGGTCATTAGCTAAAGCATGTGACTGCACTGGTTAACAATGGCAATTTTAGTTGTCCTGGTTGTGGTCATTAGGCAGGACCGTGCCATTCTTAGGCAAAGACCTCACATTTTTTCCTACCCAGATACATTTGCCTCTGCTTCAACTTCCCCCCACCTGCCTATGCCCCCCTCCAATCTTTGCCCTTTTGGTGGCCCTGCGCTTTACCACCTCTCTGCTGCTTTCTTCCTCCTGCTGTTGACAAGGGGCATTGGGTCTGGCCATTGCAAAACAGCAGTGGCAGCTATGTGAGGCCTTCCGTGGCAGCACCCTTTTGAAATATTTAATATTTCTGCATAAATATGACCTAACACGTGACCTGTTCTCCATACTAGATAAAAAGAACCCAATTAAATAAATAAGTCAAAAGCATTTTTACATTTTTGCCACTGCGTAGCTTTAGATCATTTTCCTCAATAAATAAATGAACAGGTATAATGTTTTCATTCAATTCATTGGGTACACTTTATCTAATTTTAGGACTTGTGTGAAGAACAGATTACATTTTAAGACATGTCTATGCAGAAATGTTGGAAATTCAAAAGGGTTCACAAACTTTTAAACACCACTGTACATAGTTGAAAGTTGCTCTAAATGTTTTTGTAATATTCCCAAATTCTTGCAACATCAGTTTAGGGTGCTTACTTTCATAATGCCACAAAAAAAGGTACAGCAAAAGCTGGGAGAAGATGACCAGAAAACAGCATGAGTGGACAGAAGCAACAGAGGTAGGTAAATAAAAAGTTTATGGAGTCTTGAAGTGGAAGCATTTGAAAGTAATTTGGAACATAATATTCTTTCTGTATAAAAGAAGTTACTATCTTGGATGGCCATATCCCAAAAGACAGCACAAAAAGCACCTTATTGTTAGAAATATCTCTAACAATAAAGTATCTTTGTCTTTCACACACAAACCTGTTCTTGGAGCTGAGCCCACTCTGATTCAGACACAAGCTGGTATCCCGCTGGTGGTAAATAAATAGTCTCAGGCACCAGGGTTCCAGTTGAGGAGGCAATGGAACAAGTCTCAGGACTTGGGGGACGTCTGCGTCGGATAGAATGCCCAGAACTTGGTGCCAAAGAGGAAAATGAAGCAATGGAGATGCTGTCCAGATTACAAGCAAACTTCTCTGCTACTCCTCCTTCCATTAAAGGAGTCTGGTGACTTCCAGGCAAATCCGTGGACACAGTTTCGGGGTCAGCAAGAAGGGATTCAGCTGAGCTACATAAGGAATGCTGAAAAGAAAAATATGGAAGTTAAAAGAATTCCAAGCTGTTCAGATTGGGTATTGCAAAGTATTTATAGCTGGGACTCTTATTTTTAGGACCGTTTAATTCAGATTCAGAATAGATCATCATGGAGAAAATCTATTTGTGCGATTACCAGGAGTTGAAGAAGACCTGATGGCACAATCAATTTCACATAGAGTTTGCCCAGTTTGCATGACCTGACGAAATAATGCTCTGAGCATCCATACGGAAAGAAATCAGGAAGGAAGCTGAGGCCCAGAGATCAACTTTCTCAGTAATGCTGCTCTCCCTCTGGAATACCCTGCCCCTCCAAGTTAGATGTGGCCCCGCACTGATGTATCAGGAAATGGCCAAAAGAAGCCCACTTTAAGAAAGCTTTCACACTTATTTGACAGTAGCCACTGGTTTATTTATAATTTTCAATCAGTTCTGCAATTACTTAGTAGGTTTACGGATGGATTTTATTAATGTTTTATTTCATGTGTTGTAAGCTGCCTAGAATCAGAAGAATAGGAAGCATATGTCTTTTGGTAAACAAAAAATGTCTATAACCTGGCCTAAAGGACTTTCCCTGAATTTTCCATCATTAATGGAAGACTTGTAAATTACCAGAAGTTAAACATTTGCTCTCCCACTTTTATATGCTGCACTGCCCATAGTTTTAATTAATTGTGCAGTTCATAAATATGTTTGAATAAACAAATGTCTTCCATTAATGATTCATCTACAACTTTCGCAGGCTTTTAACCATCCTGTAAAATTTACTTTGTCCTCATATCATTCATTTTCTGCCCCCCGTCATTCAGTTCTTCCTTGCCAATCTATATTCTTTTTTGAGATCCACCTGCAACACTCAGGTGCAGAGTTGCAGACTTACATTTCTGGTATTACATGCACAAAGGCTTGGCATCTATTTATTCTGAAATACGCATCTGTTTCAGATATATTTTGTAAGATATTTCATACCTTTATGCATCCCAATATTTACCTTTCCTTCTGTCCCTCTTTCCCATCTTGCCTCCTCACTCTGCAGCTCCTGAACCAGACTCTCAGCGTGGGCCAGTTTTGCTTTCAATTCAGCAATTTCCTGCTCCATCGGCAGCACAATGGCCCGGAGTCGTTGAGTATCCTCTTGTGCCTGTAGAGACATACAGACATAGGTCTTGTTTTTTCCCCCTGCCCACTGGAAACTCAGCTCAGCCCTCAAAAAGAGATTCTGGTTGAGTACATTGCTTACTTTTTCCATCTGTTTCTCCAATGAGTCCAGAGGATTGGTCCTTGGCAGCCTGCTCCAAACATTTTCCCGGCTGTCACGCTGGAAAGCTGACAGACGGGCCTCATAGCTGGAAATAGTGTCTAGAAAGGAAATAAACCTTTGAGCTGCCACCTCCAAGGCAAGATGCGATCAGGATGAGGAGGAAAGGCTTAAGGCACTTAAGCAAAACAACTCCAGCTCCTTCCCCACCCACCATAACCTGCATTCCTTTACCTTTCAGGATAGTCTGCAAAGAAGCCACCTCTTCCTGGCACCGGCGCTGGACAGCCTCTACTGCCTCCTGCTTGGTGCCTTCACTCACTGCAGCCACAGCACGGACCGTCTCCACTTCGGCCAAGGCGGCTGCCAACTGGGTTTGCAGGCTTCGGATGGTCTCTTCAGGATCGGGGCTCCCAGAGAGATTCGGGGCGGGAGGCACGCCCACATCCTGCACCCTCTGAGGCTCTTATAAGAAAAACAGGGACAGGAGAATGACAAACGGAGCTAGACTGGAACCCAGAACTGCCCGTCCCCCAATCTATCACATCGCTCAGCCAATAAACTTTGTAAGCCCTGGACCCGACTTAAACATCCCGACTTGACCTTTGACCTTGCTCAGTCTGGGTGACACCAACAGCATCGCCTCTCTAGCAAGCCCCATAGCCACGAGGGGCGTGGCCTCCCGCTTGGTCGCCAGCCCACCGCGGGGAAGGGAGGGGGCGTCCGCGCGTACCTTCCATTCTGCCAAGACTTTTCTAACTACTGCTCCGGCGCTGGCGGTGCGGCAGCTGCTGCTTTCCCCGGAGACCGAGCGAGGCCGGAATTCCCCGAGAGGAACCGGAAATAACCGAAGGAATTCGGAAATGGTCGAGAGAGAGAGAGAGAGAGAGAGAGAGAAAGCATGGATGTGCCGAAGAGGGACGAACGATCGACATACCGCGGTTTAAAGGTTTAAGGCGGGCTCTTTGCGGGACTGCCCGAGACTTCTCGACCGTTTCCGAAGAGAACCGAAGGGAAGTGGCGTATTGGTGAGGAGGAAAGGCGTTTGTCGAAACGGTGTTTTTGCATATCCAGGAATTGTCTTTGAAGTTGGGCCTGAGGATTCAAAACAGTAGTTTAAGAGAGAGTTCGATCTTTGGATTGGAAACCTGTTTTTTCACCACCACACACAAAAAAATGTCACCTTCCACGACAGGTTTTTAAGAAGAGATTGGACAGTCACTTGTCTGAAATGTATAGGGTCTCCTGTTTGAGCAGGGGTTGGACTAGAAGACCTCCAAGGTCCCTTCCAGCTCTATTCTGATTAAAGGGACTGAACATAGCTTTCATAATCATCATCGTCATTTTAGCCATTGTTTATCCACTGTAGGATGAAGGTCTCTATTTTTAAACCTCAGCAACATTAAAATGCAGGATTGGACATAGACTGCAGTAAACATTCCGATTCCGAATGGAAGTCCATGCATCTTAAAGTTGTTGAGGTTGAGAAACACTGATACAATGTTGGGTAAATGTCTCACATTGGATACAGCAGTGCAAATATAGCCCCTAGCCTAGACTGAGGTAATTATACAAACTTTTCAAAGGCAGTCAGTTCATCTTCTGGACTGGATGCATGTTATGTTAATTTCTTACCTTGGGCAGAAAAAAAAAAATCCCTGGTGCAAATGCCATAGAGCCCTCAGAGGCCAATTCCCTTTTTTTAACCTTCTCATTTATTGCTGTCTCCAGGGAAATGTCTGCAGGTAGCTCTATAGCTGCAAAGGCTCTGTTAGACGTGGCAAAAATCATGGCAAATTTTTTTAAAAAATCTGTTTATCCCCAATCCCTTTTGGGATAAACAAATTATGCAAAGAACAGAAAAGAACAAGAACTAGTATGCCTGAGAAATTAAAAGGCATGAAATAGGGAAAGGTAGGAAATATATTAATCTAGTTTACACCAACTCCTTTCACCATTCCTTTCTATCCTAATCAAAGCAAGTCCATGCACTGATCCATACATATCCTTTTTGTTCCTTAAATTTTACTGCTCTCTGAAGAACATATTAACTCCATCCATGCACAACTTTCTCAGTCTTCCCTTTCTTCTTGTCCCAATTGCTGTTCCTTAATATATGGATTCTTCATTCTTAATGTATTATTTTCTTGTTTTTCCACCCAAACTTGAGGATCCCATTTGCAAAGTTACATACCCCATTTGTATTCATACTTTAGATTTTCCCCATCTTTAATAAACATGGTGCATAAATTCATCTACTTGCTGTATGTTGTTATCATTTCTGTCTAAATTGCTATTTTTTCTTCCATGTTCTCTGTCAAAGACAATTAGTAATATTTAATAGATTAATTTTCAGATTCATAATCCTCACTACATCATGAAATGCAACTAACAGTTGCTACCAATCACTTGGGTTCTCAACCAGGAAAACTGCAGTATCCACATACTAATGTTCCTAATTTAACACATCTCTGCCATCACCATAACTATTTATGTATATTTAGCAATAGGGGCATTAAACAACCAAGAGGATATTGCTCAATCATGTCTTGTTCCCTGCTCAATGTTAAATCATTTGCTAGGCATTCCATTTAGTTTAAAACTTGCTTTACTTTCATCATATACCAACAGGCTTCAAGTCTATACTTGCACAATAACTCAAGGCTGTTCTGTTTATCATATGTTTTCTTAACATCCACAAATACGCAATAAACATTTTTTTTCTCCCCCTGACCTGCTGAGGAGAAATACCCGGTTTGCACTCCTCCAGCTGACATGAAGCTATAGTGCACTTCCCAGAAGTTGTTTATGGTTTCCTCTGTACCTTCTTGATCAGAATTCTGCAAGACACCTTCTTAATAAACTAATGCCTCTCGTTTTTGCATTTGGTGTTGCCATCTTTGTAAACAAAAATGACATTTTTCCAATCCTCAGGTAGAGATCCTGCCTTCATGTCAAACAAGTCTCACAATCACTATATGCACTTCAATTTTGTAACATTTCTCTAATTATACCATATATACTCCAGCCTTACTGTTTTTCAATATCCTCATAGCTCGTTTTGTTTCCTTTTCAACAGTTTTTTTCTGGGGCATCAACTTTAATAGTATTTCTGCTCTCTGAGATATCACTGTCATTCCTATATAAATCTCTGAAATGTTTCTTTCGGTATTTCCTCCCTTCAGCTTTATCCCAGCTAATTCTATATTCTGCTTGCTTGAAACTCCTGATTTAGCTGCCTACACTCTCTTTTAAAAATATTATTTATATCCATTAAAATTGTTCTACATTTTCTCTGCCTTTTTAAACTTGTTTCTTGTTTTCTTCTAATAATTTTTTGCAATTTTTTCCTTAATACATTTAGGTAGTTTTCTGGTTACCAACTGCCTTGTTTAGTGACTTTTTGAAGTTGTAACAGTTGAAAAAAACCCTAGATTTGTGCTGAACCTTTGCATTGCAACATCTGTATGGTCACATGATCAATATTTGGGGGGTTTTGCAAGCAGAAGGCATTTACATCTGTCTCAGCGCCCCACAGTCATGTGATCATCTTTGCACTAAGAGATTATTCCACTAAGTATCTTTCCACTGTTTCCACAAATTTCTATGGCAGCTGGTAGCGTCCTTTTCCCTCTCTTCTGAGGAGCTTCCACATTTTTATGTCAATTTTCAGTTTGTCCTACTAAGAAATTAATCTGACTTTTAATACTTTTTCTCCCTGCAATGATTCTACTCTCATTCTAGTTTCTTTAACTACTTTCAAGTTCTTCTCTGTTAATTTTCTCCCAAGATCTGCCTAACATTTCTCCCTTTCTGACTTGAAAATGGATTTTTTCATGAATGCTTTCTAATGCTAGAAACTGACTTAGCAGCAGCAATGAACACCAAGTTAGGATGGCTTAGGACAGTGATGGCAAACCTTTTAGAGACCGAATGCCCAAACTGCAACCCAAAACCTACTTATGTATCATCGGATGCCAGGTGGGTGTGGTCCATTGGGTGGGTATGGCCAATTGGATGGGTGTGGCCAGTTGGGTGGATGTGGCTGTGGTGGTAACGGCAGATTGGGTGGGACTAAAAAGTTCAATCAATCAATTCCAACTTTGCGAGATCTTTTTTTTCCCTGTGAGAAGTTGAAATTGACTGATTGAGGGGTTTTTCTGCACATGGCGGCAGAGGCCTAAAGCAAAAAGGTTTTATAAAACCCAGCTGAAGTCCTAGGACTGGGGCGACAACGTGTGTGCCCACAGAGAGGGCTCTGCGTGCCACCTGTGGCACCTGTGCCATAGGCTTACCACCATGAGCTTAGGAGGTAGTCTGCTGCCTTCCAGAATTTGCACTGCATTATTTACTGTTTCTTGCCATTTGGGGATAAAATGAGCTAAATTTAGTTGTAGTGCCTGGCGGGTTTTTTTTTTTTTTATCGGTCAGTAAAGGCCATGAGCTAAGTTCGACATGTTAATTCACAAACAAGCATGCTAAGTTATATCTGGCTTATTTTTGTACATGAACTAATCTTCGGTAGTGACTGGAGGTTTTTTTCCAAAGGGAAAAAAGTTTACATAATAAAAATAGATTGTCGTCTGACTAGTTATAAAAACAAAGTTTAGATCAGTGGTTCTCAACCTGTGGGTCGGGACCCCATTTGGGGTCGAACAACCATTTCATGGGGGTCGCCAAACAAGGCTGTCCATCATTTTTCCCCCTTTTCTTTGGCCACACCGCTGGCACCGTTGATGTATAAGTGGTTGGGGGTCATCACAACATGGGGAACTGAATTATGGGGTCGCGGCATTAGAAAGGTTGAGAACCACTGGTTTAGATCATGTCTGCTTCTCCGTTTCCAGTTTGCTGCCTTTCATTCTAGATAACAATTAGTGAAACAAGGTGATATTACCAAGCAGCTGACATATCCATGAATGCTGAATGCTATAAATAATTTTAAAAAACCACAACTAATATTCATGTTATAAATAATAAAAAGAAATCTCTAAACTGAATGGAGACAGCAAGCTAAAAAGTAGTCTATGTTTTGGACACCAAGCAATTTAGCATTAATCCTGATTGTATAGACACCAAGAAACCATCTGGTAACCATATACACTTGTCTGGAACCGCAGGCTGGCTGGGGACTTCTGGGAATTGAAGTCCACTCATCTCAAAGTTGCCAAGTTTGGAAAACCCTGAAGTAGAGGGAGGGGATGATGAAGCACCCCTCTGGATTGAGGTTACAAAAGGTCAGGATGCAAACAGTACAGTAAAAATCCCATTATTGCGTGTAAAAAAAGGGCAGACTGTAATTGTACAGTTGTGGCTGCCATTTTGACTTCTTTGATACCTGCACCTCTGATCCTCGGTGAGGAATTTATATTCTATGTACCTTCATTACCCAGCATGCAAAGACTGAAATTCTGCCACTAACACAATTTCAGCTTTTTTGCCAGGCACTGGTTATAACTGCACAGCCCTTTAGGAAACAGGTTTTTAAAAAGGGTTTTGACAAGATTACTATAATACTTTTTTTAAAAACATCCTTTTTGTTATGTCCTGAGCCTGTGAAGGCAAGCTCGGGGCATTGCAACGGTCCCAGGCAGGTGCAAGCTGCCCGGGACCAGACTGGCTGTCGCCAGCACTCACGCGTATGCGCAAAGTGCAGGCGCGCCAAATGTTGCAGTTTGGCCCGGGAATCGCCTATAAAAGGGGCAGGGAGACTTGGGCGTTGTCGGTGTCTTGTAACCAGTATGCTGAACAGAAATAAAGAGGTTCCTGAGAACTACAACTGCTTCTCGCGTCATTGCCATTTCGCTGAGGACTTAACACTGGCGACGAAGGTGGGATGCCTTACAACGACTGCAGACAAGTTGTAAGCTTACCCTAGAGTCCTGAGCAGTAGGAAACGGCGTTAAACTCAGCAGCTGCCCACCAATTCAGCAAACATCAGGGGTAAGCTGGCTGATAGACCCTTCCTGTACTACAAAAATGGCAAAAGTTGGAAGACTTTCAGAATTCGATGTCTCGCATCCGGAAAAATGGGAGTCCTACGTAGCCAGGGTAGAAAACTATCTTAAAGTCAATCAAGTAAGAGAAGATAGTTTAAAAGCCGCCACCCTGCTGTGCATTTGCGGTCAAGACGCATTCGAGATCGCTGAAAACATTGCAGCACTTGCACCTCTAGAATCTGTTAACTACACAGATCTCAAAAAACTACTAAAGGAACACTTCCAGCCCAAGTTGTCCGTCATCGCTTGGCGCCACACCTTCGAACAGAGGGATCAGCGGCCCGGAGAATCAGCCAAAGAGTACATTGCTGCACTGAGAAAAGCTGCTAAACACTGCGAGTTCAAAGATCTAGAAGAATGGGTGAGAGATAGATTTCTTTTTTATTGTAAATATTTATTAAGTTTTTTTAAAATTTTACAAAAACAAAAACAAAACAACCCATCCCCAAACCTCCCCAGCCCTCCCATTCCCTCCCCCGACCTTCGCAGAGCTGAACATAGGCTTAATTAAAATTTCTTCAAATAGTCTAAAAAAAAATATAAACCATAAATAAATCTAAATACTAAATACATTAATTAAACAAACTATAAGATAATTAACAATAATATATGTATAAAAAACATAACTACCAAAAAAATAATACTTAAGAAAAAAAGAATAAAGAAAAAGAAAGAGGAAAAAGATAAAAGAAAGTATAATAAAAATAAAAAATAAAAATAAAAAAAGAATTAGAATCTATAAGATATTTTAAATTTTAAATATAAGTTATTGAAAAGCTAAATAATATTTTTTAATATCCAACTTATATTGTATAAAATCTATCCATTTTTTCCATACTGCAAAATACTTCTCCTGCGATTGATCCTTCAAGAAAGCCGAAATCTTTGCCATTTCCGCCAAGTAAGAAACTTTAAAAAACCACTCTTGCAAAGTAGGCAGAGATTCCTTCTTCCAACATTGCCCTACTAGCAGCCTTGTGGCTGTAATTAAGTTTAACATCAATGTGGTCTCTTTAGTGGATGACACGAGCTGCCCATAAACGTAAAGAAAAAGAGCAGTTGCATAAGAGTGGTGAAAGTTTGGTTGTTACAGAGCCTGTGGGAGGGGCAAGACCCAAAAGATCTTCGACAGCAGATCTGCAGGCCATGCTCCAGAGGCTCTAGGCCGGTGGAGATGGTCAGGTTCCTGACCTGGAATG